GGCCCCCCCGCCCCCCCACCCCCCCCCCCCCCCCAACCCGGGGAACGGAGGATCGCTTCGGGACTGGCGGCGTGGACGAGCGTAGCAGACAAGTGTGGGGGAGACAAAAGGTCTTGGGCCGTCTTTACCCTAATGCAGATAATGCATTAAAAAGGAAAAAAACGCCAAGACCTTAATACTACTTTGATAGAAAGTAACATTACTGTTACTTTGCATTTACTCTCTTTCACTCAACCACAGATGTAAGATGACCTGCATATGATGAATTTAACCTTCAGTTAACTTCAATTAGCCCTAATTGATTCATTTTCCCCTCAGCTATTTCATTTTTTTTTAGGATTTCTTTTTTTTTTAAGACTTTAATTTTGCACTAATTTTATTTGTAGTATTACTTTTCAATGCTTTGTACCAAAAAAATTTTAGCCATCTATTTATAAACAATTTGCAGAGCCATTTACCCTGTGAATCTCTGAATATTTGTTCTGTGCGAATAAGGCCTCATTCACACACGAATCGGCCTGCACGTACAGCTCCGTGCGGGGCCGTACCAAGTAGATGCTGGGAAGGACAGGTGCTGCGTGTGATTAGAACGCAGCCCCCGTCCTTTATGGGGCTACGCGGCCGTACGCCCCCCTACGCTTACCTCATTTGCAGGTCCGTAGGGGTGCGGGTGATCGTATTCATACGCCGCCGGAATGGAACATGTATGCGTCCCGGCCAGAAAACGTAGCCCCATAGAGAAGAACGGGGGCTGCATTCTAATCACACGCAGCACCTGTCCTTCCCGGCAGCTACTTGGTACGGCCCCGCACGCAGCACGGAGCTGTACGTGCAGGCCGATTCGTGTGTGAAGCCTAAAAAACTAAATGTTTTTAGTATATTATCTTTTTAAGTTGAATGTAATACCACAGTATGGCCACTAGACGGACCTGAGAATATTAAACATTTCCTTAGCTCCATCTAGTGGCCCTAAATGTGTTGTTACAATGCAGTCAACCTGAAAAGATATTAAGAATGTCGTTTTTATCCCACAGAACCGTAAATTCGACATGCAAAAGGTAGTATACCAAAAATGGTTCTGCAAATTGTTTATAAAATGTACTCCTTAGTGTCGGCATAACAGCAAAACTCCATCACTGCAAGAAACTAACCAAAACTGCCATAAGGATCAAATGTGTTTCTGCTTCTAGAAATGGGAAAGCACAGTTCGGTTTCCTCACCATAACATCAGTCTCAATTTATGCTGAGCAATGCGGCCACAAACCTGTGCAGTTTTCAGCCATAAAGCCAAGATATTTATCATGAAGGTGGTACGTGATCTAAAAAGTACGGGCTTACACAAATCCACAGACCTCACCCAGAACTGAGAACACTTACATGTATACTGCACTGTAATTTTTATGGTGGAGATGCAAGGGAAGTAAAAGTTAAAGCCATCTTACCTGGGGTTTGTTTTGTATACAGATCCATCGACGCCCACTGTGATGCTACCCAATTGATGCCGCCGATTATTCTTTATGCGGTTAGCGACTGCAGCAAGTCCAGCAGCACACAACCTGGCAGACCTCATAGACACGGCACTGCACACACAATTGACCTGGACACAGTCCTTTTCACTCGGCTTTAGACCCAAGGCAGTCAAAACGTTTTTAGTTTTCTCAAAAGGAAAATTGTCACTGCAAGGGAGAAAAAAAAAAAGGTGTTGCTAGTTGGGTTGAGCTATACATAGCTTATCAACTTCAGGAATAATAGATCTAAAGTAACTACTAACCGGGCATATTTTCCCAACCTCCCAATGTAGGAGCACTACTTTGGCAATGATAAACTGCTTAAAAAAAACAGAGCATACCAGATTTTACACACAGGTCTGAATAATTTTACTTTGGCTTTAAAATCTAGGCTTGCCATGTGGCTGGTGGTTTATGGCCCTAGATATGAAACACGGGAATTTAGATCAGTGTTCTTTATAGGATAGGTACAGAAAACACAGAAATAAATAGAATAATGGATTAAAAGAGCACAAGAGTTCTAAACCTTTGAAGAAAAAAAAAAAAAGGCAATATGTAGCCAATAGTCACCAATAATGCTTAGGCTAGGTTCACACCTGCACTACACCTGAGACGCATGTCCCGGGTGTCTTGCGGTCCTGCACAATGCAGGCAGCAATTGCCGCGTGGCCCCATTGATTTCAATGGGGTGACATCCGCGCGTCAATCACAGAAAAAAAAGGTAAAAGTACCTTTTTGTGATACACGACGCACAGCTGCTTTAGCCGCGATCATATTCGGAAGCACGGCGGGAAACCGCGTGATCCGCCCGGCGCGCCATTACAAAATAATGGCACCCACAGCGCGATCGGTTCACACCTTGGCGACTCCTGAGCGTGCACGATTGCCGCGCAGCCTGAAAAATGCTGCAGGGATCTTTTTTTTTTTAACAGGTAAAGTTTTTATTGGTTTTCATACATAAAAACTAACTACATATAATACAGTGAAAATGAAATATCGACATTCCAACACAGCATAACAGCAATCAATACAATAATGAAAAAAGCAAAGAAAAATACATTGACGACTAGACAGACACTTCAATGCTAATCAACTTGTGGATCGTTGGTTCCCTGTGCTTGCAGCACCGCCAAACCCACTAAGGATGCAGGGATCGTTTCCACCAGCCAGTGCGCTCATCGCACTGTCCCATGCCCAGAACGCAAGAGATCACATACACAAAGTCTCCTTGCATCCTGAGGTGGGGGCATGGCAGTGCCATTCATTTAAATGGGACCGCAGACCATGTGGTAATACAACGCCCTGCGTTTCAGTGCAGTACGATCACCCAAAAAAATTCAAGCACTATTTTTGCGATTGACAGCACTGGAACACAGGGCATTACCATGTGGTCCTGTGCGGCCGCTTATGTGCAGTGCCATTGACATGAATGGCACTGCCATGTCCCCTCCCACCTCGGAACACCAGGAGACTGTATGCAATCCCTTGCATTCTGGGCACGGGACAGTACGATGAGCGCACAGGCTGGTGGAAACGAGCCCGCAAGCACTTTCTTTAGATTGCACTGGACTGGAACATTGGGCATTCAAGTACCTCACATTCCAATGCGGGTAATCGCACAGCGGGCGGGGGCGTGCCTGTGGTGCCATTGACATGAATAGCACCCCCACTTCACCTCCCGCACCTGGCCGGGATGAGCTCCACCAGTGAATCATGCTGGAAGGCACCAGAGCTCTTGTGAACCAGCCCTTACAGTTAGGAGCAGTAAACATGTGCTTTATTGGTGGCACAAAAAAAAAAAAAAAAAAAAAAAAAAAAAAAAAAAACCTTATCTTTATAAACCCAAAA